TGTCTAAAGAGCCTAACAGAAAGATCATTCAGATGCAGTAATTCATTTCTGGGGTAGATAAAGTCACTAATCCAGTAGCTAGTTGTCCCCAATGGGCACATTCCCATCTGAGAAGCACATACTCTAATTAGATCCTCCGTCAGTATCAACAGCTGTGGCAAGGATCCTAGGCATTTCAGCCACTGCTCCACTCTAGAATAATAAGTCACAGGCTGAATTTCTCCATTTAGTATTCTTCTGGTTGCATTTTGCCAATGATAGCAGTGTCTGAAAAATAGTGACCTGTGTTACAAGCCAAAATCCTATAGGTTTTATCACCAGAACCGCCACTTATTCAATCTCCAGTTATGTAAGGAACGTTTCCAAGAATATTCCTTTCGGAATCATAGCTAAATTGGGCATAGCCCAAATATATGAAACTCTTTTAGAACAATGATAAAAAACAAAAGAATTACTTTTAATATGAGATCCCAATGTGAAAAGTGAGCTGGACTAGAAATGTGAAACCTGTTTGGGGGACTATTGACATCCAGCTGGATGACTAAGGGTTTTCACTGACTGGAAGCACCAAATGTGCCCTGTCTATCAAAATCTTAGAGCAATCTGAGATGCATTAGTAGAAAATCCATGTTCACTTAGGCAGCACCTCTGTGTATAAATAGCAGTACAGCAAAACTTGCAGAGAGGATTCAGAATTGAAAGGAATGTGTGGGGGAAATCAAACAACTCTTGTCTGATGCTGAAATCCTCTTATTGAACCAATGTGACTAGATAGTCCAGAATAATAGGAAGGAATGGTCCTACATGTCCTGTATGAATAAAAATACATTGGACACTGTTTACATATAAATAATATATTTTATGAGTATCCCTGACAAACTAGCACAATCCAAAGAAGGGAAACCACGGAATTTAATGATTATTTAGAAAATGAGGTTTGGAAAATTAGATTTAGGAGTTATCCATAAATCCTTTAGAGCTGTCCTAGTAATGTGAAAGCTGCCTGGCATGCAAGCTCCACTCCAAGGAATAACAACTCATTCATTTATTCAGCGTCTCCTTAGAAGGAGGCCCTGTATTTGGTCATCCTCTAAGACACACATATGAGTAATGAAGAGTCTAGAAGTAGAGATAAGGACATGAATAATCAAATAACCATAATACAAAGGAGCATGCGAGAGGTGTCACCACATGAACAAAACAAAATCTACTTTGGAAGTCATGATGTCCAACCGGCAGGATCAGAACAAGCAGCTGGAGGAGGAGGCACCGAATTGGGCTTGTAAGGCGCGTACTATTTCTGTGACAATAAATATACTGAGGGTATTCCCAATGGAGGCAAAGCAGAAGCAAAAGTTCAACAGTGGGGGAAAAGTTGGGCAATATAGTGGGACAAAGCTGAAAATGAAATAGTCCAAGTTGGGGCCTCCCCTGGTGGCGCAGGCAGTTGAGTGCCACGCTTTGAAGCTGTCCTCAGCCCCTGCAGCGCTGGTTCGAACCGGGCTGGCCAGCAAGGTTCCCACATGGTGCAGCAGACCTCTCCTGTCACACCCTCTGTTCCCCTCAGCAGTGTATTTCATCAGTCTGCCTGTTCTGTTTCCCGCTCTGTCTCTAGTGAATCCTCTCACACGCCACATATCTGGCCTATACCCTGGTTCTTGTATAAATAAATAAATAAATCTTTAGAAGAAAAAAAAAAATAGTCCAAGTTGTCCGACCACAGGTGCGGAAATATTGAATATGGGGGATAAGACTAAAGGGTGCCAAACAGGGAAGACTTTATCTCCAGGCTGCTGAGACAAAGGTGGATACACTGGGACTGTGTTACTGTTGTTGTTGCTGGTGGTGGTCGTGGTGTCTGTTCCTGGTACAGGTTATATGCAGCCATAGCAGAGGCAGGAGGCTTTTATACAATGCTTAGTCAGGCAGAGGTGAAGTTTTGACACAGGTCACAGGCAGGTAACAGTGAGGAAAGAGACCTGAGAAATATTTTAGACAGTCAACAGACCCCAGACCTAAACTGTCAAATCCAAAGGGCCATGGAAAGAGTAGAACCCCAGTTGAAAGAGGAACTGGCTGAGAAACAAAGAAGGCAGAGTGAACACAGAAGCACAGTGCTGTAATGCAGGTGGATGGCTAGAATCGCTGGAGGGAGAAGGTTCTAACCCACTGCCTTTCTCCAAGTCCTGCTCAACCCTTTCCCAGATCATGATCACACCCCACTGAGGCTGCTCATCAAGAAAACACCTGAAAAGAAGGGCAGAGCCAAGCCACCCTAAAAGACTCTCCACTCTGCTCAAAACAGCACTCCATGAAGGCAAAGGCTGTTGTATGGTTAGAGACCCCTCAGTGAGATCCTCAAGCAGAGCATCTGAAGAGCTACTTTCTGGTCTGGAGCCTGCCACTAGTTATCCCTGAAACCTTTAAAGATGACCTCTTGGCCTCCCTGGTGGCGCAAGGGGTTAAGACGCAACCTATGAAGCTGTCCACAGCCACTGCAGCACGAGTTCAATCCCCTGCCAGGGAGCAACCCACATGGCACATCAGACCTCTCCTGACTCACCTGCTGCTCCCCTCAGCAGTGTATTTCAGTCGATCTGCCTGTTCTGTTCCCCACTCTGTCTCTGTGCCCAGCTCTTGTATGCATAAATAAATACATCTTTTTAAAAATAAATAAATAAATAAATAAATAAATAAATAAATAAATAAAGATGACCTCGTAAGCCTCAACTCCTTCATTTGTAAGTTGGAGGTAATAATGTATCCCCCACCTAATTTCACAGGTTTGTGAGATCACACAGGAGGAGACTGCAAGCAGCAAAGCACACAAACATCCTGCCAGGAGTCATTAGAAATACTTTGAGGGCAGAAACTACAACAAATTCATGTTTGTATCCTGCATGGAGCTGAGTATGGAAGGAGGGAGGGAACAAGGTGGGCCCCACAGGTTGCCAGTGTTAGCCAGGAATACTGCCCACCACATGCTGCCCACCACATTGTCAAGAAGATCACACATGTAGAGAAAGAGGATAAAATCCTCCAAATTGACCCCTCATTTAAGAGATGGTAAGTTTCAACCAGAGAGAGGCCCAGTGATCTGCCCAAGATCCTGAGGGCCCAGGGATCTGAACAAAAATGTATGTGCATTTTCAGTGATGTTTTTACCCACATTATATTACAAGTAGCCTTTGAGTGGGGTAGGCAAGGATCATAAAATTCTCATTTTCAGCCCAGGGTAAAAAGGCTTGTGCAGGAAAGGATTCAAATCCAGATGGTCAGACCCCCCCAGTGCACTGCTCTTTTCCTACACCACAAGTTCATGCATGGGCTGGTACTTAACATAAACACTTTAGCACTCAATATATTTCAAACTCCAAATTCTACTTTATTGGAAAATATTTTTGTTTTTATTTCATCTTGCCTTCAGCAGTATTTCACATTCAGTCTTCCCTGGTAGGATTCTACTGACATTTGTTTTAAAGAAAAAAAAAATACATACATATATATCTATATATATATAGTTCAGTGGTCACATTTAGCAACACATTTTTTAAAACTAAATCCTCAGGGCCTCCCCCATGGCACAGCGGTTGAGCGCTGGGCTGCGAAGCTGCCCGCAGCCTCTGCAGCGCCTGTTCGATCCCCGGCCACCAGAGGAGGGTCCCACATAGCGGAGGAGGGTCCCACATAGCAGAGGAGGGTCCCACATAGCGGAGGAGGGTCCCACATAGCAGAGGAGGGTCCCACATGGCGCGCAGACCTCTCCTGCCACCCCCTGCTCCCCTCAGCAGTGTACTTCGGTCCTTCTGCCAGCTCTGCTCCCCGCTCTGGCTCTGGTGAATTCTCTCACCCTCCCGCACTTCTGACTGTACCCAGTGCATGTATAAATAACTAAATAAATCTTAAAAAAAAAAAAAAAAAGATGGTGCTAGGAAAAAAAAAAAAAAGAAACTAAATCCTCAAAACTGGGCCTTCCCATAAAAATCATCTTCACAAAGTACATCCCTACATGTTTGTCACCGAAGATATCCCTCACCTTTGCACAGAGCACATTTGACTATGATGATCAAAGAGCAGTAAATATTTAACACGTAACCACCAAGAAGACAGTTCCAACAAAACTGAGGTGAAAACTTCCTGGCCGTATGTATGAAACAGATTTGCATCCATGGAAAGGTCTCAAAGCAGAGTGAGCAACAGAGAAAAGGAGGCTGATCATTCTAGTCATCTACACCCAAAGTCTCTCGATCTGAAAGTGGCTTTTATTTGGGGAGGTCCAAGGAAGAGATGAGGAGAGAAAATGCCAAGAGCAAATGAACGGATAGCTGTCTCAATGTCCTCTTTATTACATAGGGCCTGTCTTTTCCACCCCATGGAAGGCATGTCTATTTTGCTCCCCTTTTTAAACTAACGCAAGAGGATTAAAATTGCTTAGTCTCCTGGGGCTTGCAAAGGTTTCTCACTAGGTTCACCAGGGGGGTGGCGATAGCTTCCAAGCAGTGCTTCTAACAGGCCAGGGGCCAGTCTGCCAAGAGGTCCTCTCCGCATCCCGCGTTTCAGGCAAGCTCCTGAACAAGCCAAAGCGCTCTGGCAGTAGTTTCTGCTGGAAAGCCCCCAGCAGTCCTTCTTCTGGTTCCTCTCCTTTCTCGTTATCACGTAAACCACCACACAACTCTGCCCGCTGCCCCGGGCCCTCTCCCGCGGTCAGAGGAGGTAACAGATTGTAGCACTCGCAAACCACGGATTTAGGGCCCAACAGACCTGGCAACCTCCTGGTGACAGCACCTGCTCCACCGCCTGCCCAGGCCCGGTGTGGGAAGACCACAAAATCGCCCCAAGCAACACGGAGACACTAGCCCCCCACCGCACCCCCACGTATTCCCGAGGAGGGCGCTGCCCCTACACAGCGAGTGGAGGCCAGGGGGAGACCTATTCGCACAGAGGCTACGCCCCGACCCTCCATCAATAAGGCGCAAGGGGGAAAAATAGGTTTCATTTACCGACATGAGTGATCACTGTGGCCAGTCGCCGGGTGAGCTCATGGGAGGCCATTTCTTCTTTTAACCAAAATAGCATTTCTCCGAAAACCCAAACACTCAGTGTCAACCAAACTGTTTCTACTGCAGCTACGGATGATGTTTAACAGACATCTCCTTCCGATGATGCTCTGCTCTGACACTTCCTCACGCTCTTCGGGGACCAGAGATAGTCCCGCCCATTCACGGCCAATTCTCCGGGGCTCCTGGACTCGAGGACGCCGGCCACGCCCTGAAGAGGATTATTTTAAAGATTAAATAAGGAGTTTCCCCGAGGAACATCTGGCTTTGACCGGGAAAGGACAGTCCTGGAGGTGTGAACCAATCTCAGGGAACCACGCATCTGGCTTCCCTCGCCGAGGGGCGCGCGGGTTTCTGCATTTGCGGTCTTGGACCGTGGGGTCCCCAGCGCCGAGTCCTGGGAGCGTCAGGATGAAGCCATGTCCTGCCCACGCGCGGGGGAGCTGACGGGGCGTCTGCTGGGGGCGAGGAGCAGCGCGGCCGGCGGCCGGGGATCCTGCGCGCCGCCCAGCCCACGCCCGCCGCCGGCCGCGCGCCTCCAGCCTCCGCGCCCACCAACCCCGGCTCGGGGCGGAACAGGGGGCGCCGGGAGAGGCGCGCACGCGCCCGAGCGCCGCTGGTTTTCTGGAGTGAAGCCGCGCCCCTTCCCCTGCCGGGATACCCGCGCTCCGGCCCGCGGGGCAACTTCCGACCTGTTCTCGGAACCTTGGGGGCAAAGAGGAGGAGACAGCGACTTAGGCGCTCCCCCACCCAGCGCCCGGATCCAGATCACCCTAAGTGCGTTATCCTGACTCCGCCCGTTCCCTGCCAGCCAGGTGTCTGCGGAGAAGCCTAGGCTAGAAGGAGGCAGACTGGTGGGGGTGTAGCCATCCTGCCAGGGTTCGGGAAGGTAAGGTGATGCCCGCCTGCAAGCCCTCACCACCTGACTCCGGACAGGGCGGGGGAGGAGCCGTTGTGGAAAGATCGGGCATTTTGAATGTATCTCCATCCCCTTTGGGGGTTGCTTCGCACAACTCTCAGCGTCTATAGCACACACCTGCACTTTCCTCGCAGTAGGTACTGTACCCCAGGTTCCTTAAATTAATCCAGATATTACCTAACAGAGAGCAAAAGACTAACCCCATTCAACCAAGCGCAAAAGGGGAAACCTGAGAAAAGGGGGCGGGATGTGAAAGAGGTGATTATGTTACAGGACAGGGAGAGGGGTACACCAAAACCCCCAAACCTGCCTGCTCTAAATAGGTTCTGCCATCCTCAGCATCAAGACAAAACATATAAGACCTTAATGGAAAGGAACTGTAACACAATTAGTGTGCAATACAGACAAGACAAAGAGTACAGTTTCCACATCTAGCATCCGAAGTTACCCATCCCCTAGTTGGTAAAAGTCCAGCCAAACAGGATGGGCCCAAAGCAAGTCCCATAAGCCTGACTCAAGTCTAAAGCAACTTCCAGGAAGGCCCAGTAGAAAAGGGGTCAGAAACAGCCAGACAAGTCTGGGAGGAAAAAAGCAAAATCAAAACCAAGATAAAACTGCCATTGTTAACCTCCCCAAGAGTCTCTCACCCACATCTGTTTCAGCTAGTCCAGGACCAAGAAGCCAGCGCAGTTTCTTCACATGTCTCTGCTCCATGGGCCTCCTTCAGGTCTCCTTCTTGCTCTCCTTCCTGCTGCCTTCCTTCTTCAGTCTCCTCTTTCCAGCTTCTCCTCCCTCCTCAGCTCCACCCTTCTTTGGGTGGGATAGGGAAACTGAAACTTGCCCTTTTCCTGGGGACCACCCTGTTACAATTACTGAATATTCAGTTTGGAGAATATCAGGACTGTCCACATGTTCTGAATCAATGCCAGAAATCTCAGCTTTCCTCTAAAAAGTCAAGCCCTAAACACCCTGGATCCAATTTCTGTTGGTGTCCACCCATTCCAAGGGGCTCAGGATATATTTCAATACTTTCTGTAACAATTGTGGGCTGTGGTTAAGAGAGATTGTTAGTCCAGCTGTGAAGTGAGATTTCTGCAGAACTTTCCCCCTCCTGTGAGGTTTGGGCACTTGGCCTATACAGGCAGAGAAACCAATTTCATATCTTACTGCAAGAAATTCAGAAAAGGGTTAAAGACCCAAGGGAGCCAGAGGGCTTTGAATTGAAACTTAGTGATTTCAATTCAATTCTGGTTATTCGAGGGTGACAAGTCTTTTTGAGGAACCAAATGAGATGTTTTCTATTGACAGTAATCAGAACCCTGGTGCCCAGTACATGCCAATTATGACTTTTGGTCACTAGAAACCAGCAAATTGCTGAAGCATACAGACTCAGAGTTTTGTGGATCCAGTGACCACAATTCCCTCCTCGATTAGGCCGCCAGATCCTTATGTTTGAGAAACATGAAAAGGAGGGAATGGAGAGGAACAGGAGGCAAGAGAAGCTAATGAGTAGGAATGAGAGAAAAGGAAGGAAATATATAATGCTCAGAGCTCTGCTCTCCTTTCCCACATCTGTATCTTTACAATCTTCAAAGGTTTCCATGGTGATGAGTTGGCTGAATTTCTGGCAAAATGTAATAGGCAGTACCTGTCCTCAAAAGCCAATTCTGTCTCCCCCAATCTGTAACAAATGCACCCATGGCTTCGAGTACCTTGCCTGGACCGTGAGGGGTGGGTCTGTGATCTCCAAATTACCCTTTCCCATTCTGAACTGTTATTAAGAAGAAATGACCACATAGTGTTCAAGAGCTTTCCTTCCTTGTTCTGCCGAAAATATGGTGATCGTTTCCATTGCTCTTATGAATACGGTCATTTATTCTGTTTTCTTTCTCTCCTCCTTACTTCTTTCCAAGCATCTTTTTCTCCTTCCTAGTTATGATCTATTTCCTGTCTCTGAAAAAATCACATTGCTTTAAAGCTTGACAAAATCAAGGAATAATCTGAAAGAGCCAGCCACCCTCTCCAATGAATCAGTGAACAGTCATGTCAATGGGATTGATTATATGCCCAGGGTTGTGATAGGCAGTAACATCTCTATACAGTAAGTGACTGCTCTGTGCCTGGTGTGATGGCAGGCAATTCACAAACACTACTTAAGCCTCACAACAGCCCTTTAAGGGCATTAGTCTCATTTTACTGAAGCCACTAGTTTATGACTGTAGCAGCCTTCTTGTATGGACTTGCATGAACTGGAAAGAGGTACATCCTCCTAGCACTGCCAAGGTGGTTTTCACCTCTCTGTTGGTGGACTATCAGCACCGCCTTTGACAGTAGGAGAATGACAAAAGAACCCCACACTGGGGTTCTTTATTGTGAAAAGATTTTGAAGATACTGAAAAGCAGAATGGTAAAATAATTCATATTGCACCTTGATTTAGCAAGTATTGACATTTCCAGCATAGATCTCAATGAGATATCTTTGCTAAGGTAGTTTAAATTACAGGCAATGACATTTTATCAAACCTTAGCCACAGGTAAGGGATGTCTGGGCTTATGAGGGGGCCATCTGTTTAGTCTAGATCACTGGCTCTCAAACTTGCAGAATCACCTGAAAATACAGGTGCTCTTTTTAAATTACAGATTCCCGGTCCCTGCCTATTGTGAGATAGGACCCAAGAACTTGCATTTCTAACAAGTCCCCCAGGAATACCAATACTGCTGGTCCTGGGACCATACTTTGACCACCATTGGCCAAAGGCAGGACTCTTCAAACTCCTTAATCTGGAAACCCCAGTGTGACATAAATTTTACATCATGATGCAGATACATATAATTAAAACAAAAATACAGAACAATTTTTCCCTTAGTATAATATAAAGTCTTGAAATACTTTCTATTTTACTTTTAAAATGAGGGACAAAATGGGTATGTTTGCATTCAGAAAGTTTAGCACTATAGTAATATAAGAAAATGTCCTTGTTCTTTTTGAGATGTATACTATCAATAAGTTTTTAGGGAAGAAACATCATTTACTGTAATGTAAACTACCCTGGCAAAGAGAATAAATGAGATAAGTGCCTGGATATGTTAATAATTGTTAAATTGAGGTGGTATGGGCTATTTTACTATTCTCTTTGCTGTTTTTCTGTATGTTAAATTTTTTTCCTAAAAATATTTTTAAGAATGATTGAATCCATTGAATTGATTTTACAACCCACTAAGGGTTTTCTCAGAGCAGTTTGAAAAACACTGTGCTAAGGCAGAGCAGAGCAAAGAAAGAAAAGAGAGTAAGTTAAGAGAGATGGTGGAGCATAGGAAAGGAAGGCATGAAGAAGAAGAGAGAGAGCAGGCAGAGATGCACTGGTCACCACAAGAAGAGAATGCCTCTCCAAAGGACCTCTTCTACACAGCACATTCTGCCTTTCTCCCCACAGAAGAAAGGGAAGATACCTTATTCACCTCTGTAGATCTTATAGCCCCTGGGCAAAGCCCAGAAAGAGAGGCCGCCTGAGTCAAAGCCTCTAACTTTATGAAGCTCTTGGACTTGCCTCCCTCAACCCCCAGTCCCCAGTGCCACTCTATAGGACCAGTCTCTGAGTCGGGAGCCCAGCTGTTCTTTTTTTTTTTTTAAGATTCATTCATTCATCCATTTATACAAGCACTGGGTACAGTCAGAAGCGTGGGAGGGTGAGAGAATTCACCAGAGCCAGAGCGGGGAGCAGAGCAGGCAGAAGGACCGAAGTACACTGCTGAGGGGAGCAGCAGGTGGCAGGAGAGGTCTGCGCGCTATGTGGGACCCTCCGGTGGCCCGGGAGCAGCCGGGGATTGAACCGGCGCTGCAGAGGCTGCGGGCAGCTTCGCAACCCAGCGCTCAACCACTGCGCCACCAGGGAGTCCCAGCTGTTCTAATAGGCAAAATCAGACTAAGGAGGTCACACCACGTGCTACCTACTGCATACTCGCAAGAAGTGAAAAAGTCACTGAGCAGCTCACACCATTCTGATATTCCACTGTTATCTTCTGTTGCGGAATCAGCCTATTCCATGGTACATGGGTGTATGTGAGTGCGCAGGGCATACATGATGAGGGGGAGAGCAGCTGTGTCTCCCTCTTATACTTCCACTCCTCTCCTCCGTATATTTCCTTTCTCAGTTTTACCCTTGTCACAAAAGTTCATTTTCTTTATAGAAATAAAAAAAGAGAGAGTTAAGAAAAGAAGGGATGGAGAATCAATCATAAGTCCATCACCCAAGACAAAACCATTGGGATTCAAAAAGTTCACTTGATGTGTTATTTTCATTAATAGACTATCTTTAGAGCAGTTTTAGGTTTGCAAAAGAATTGAGCAGCAAAGTACAGAGAAACCCAGCACCCACTCTCTCTCCAGTTTCTCGTATTATTAACATCTTGCGTTAGTGTAGTACATGTGTTATAATTGGCGAAACAATGCAGATACATCATTATTAACTAAAGTCTATGATTTACTTTATCATAGTATTTACAACACTGTGTTGTACAGTTCTTTGAGTTTTCACTAAGGCATAATGTCATGCATATCTCAACTTATCATTGTGTATCTTTGTTTCTTAAATAGGTTAGCCAACTATTTATTGTTGCTTTTTTCAAATCTTGTGTTTATTTGTATTCTTATTTCTATTTTCTATTTTATGATTTTCTTCTTTTATCCTTTTTAATCCATTCTTGCTGCTTTTACTTTGTATCTGCTTTTGAACACTGATTTTGTGTATCTCACAGGGACTAACATGTAGTGTTTTGTCTATTTTTTTTTTAGCCCCCCCGTTTGGTCTATTTTTATTTTAAAATATTTTGGGACTTCTAGTTTCAATTCAGCATGACAGAAGTTACAACTCCAGGGGTCTCCCTGGTGGTGCAAGGGGTTAAGATACAACCTATGAAGCTATCCACAGCCACTGCAGCACGAGTTGGAGCCCTGCCCAGGAGCAACCCATATGGTGCAGCAGATCTCTCCTGTCTTGCCCATTGCTCCCTCAGCAATGTATTTGAGTCAGTCCTCCTGTTCTGCTCCCCACTGTCTCTAATGAATCCTCTCACCCCCATCCCACACCTCTGGCCTGTATCCCAGTTCTTTTATGCATAAATAAATAAATAAATAAATAAATAAATATTTTTTTTAAAAAGTTACAACTCCATCCAAACAACAAGTAGAAAACTGAACAAACTAAAATATCGACAATTCCTAGGTCCACAAGAGACATGAGGTCACAGAGCAAACCACTGCCCCAATATTGGAGGCAAATACTGATACTCACAACTTACAGAAACCATAAGCTGCAACCTCTGTAGGAACCAATACCTGGAAAGGAACCTGAACTGTAACTGATGGGCTGCTGGAGGCTCAGTTTGTAAAAATCTCTGACCAGGAAGACCCTGTCATGGGAATGGTCAGACTCTGTGAGTTTTACCTCTAAAAGCTCTACCAGATCTTCCTACCTTTGTTCAATAGATTCAATGCAATCCCAATAAAAATCCTAGCAACTTATTTTGTGGATCCTGTAAAACTGATTCTGAAGTTTATATGGAGAGACAAAAGCTAGAATAGCCAATACACAAGAAACTGAAGGAGAAGAAAGTAAGCAGACTGACACTACTTCATGTCATGACTTACTATAAAGCCACAGTAATCAAAACAGCAGCGAGACAGACAAACAGAGAAACTGAACAGAATAGAAGGACTGGAATTAGGCCCACATAAATATAGGCAACTAATCTTTGAGAAAGAACAAAGGCAAAACAATGGGGGAAAGTTAGTCTTCTCAACAGGCGCTGGAACAACTGGACATCCACACCCCAAGCAAGCTAGACATAGATCTTATGTCCTTCACAAAAAAGAAGTCAAAATTCCTAAAACATAACATAGGAGAAAATCCCAATGACCTAGGGTTTGGTGAAAACTTTTTAGGTACAACGCTAAAGACACCATCCCTCAAAAAAGAAGTGATAAGGTGATATAAAATTTAATATTTTCTGCTAGATGATAGACACTATATGAAAGACAATCAAGAGAATAAAAAGAGAAGCTATAGATGGGGAGAAAATATTTACAAAAGACATGAGCTAGAAAATTATTATCTAAGGTATAGAAAGACCATTAAAAACTCAACAGTAAGAAAATAAATGACCTGATTTTAAAAATGGGCCAAAGATCTTAACAGATGCCTCGCCAAAGAAGAACTATAGATGGCAAACACACATGTGAAAAAAATGCTCCACATCCTATGTCATCAGGGGAATGCAAACTAAAAGGACAATGACATACCACTACACACCTATACAGATGATCAAAACCCCCAAATACTAACAACACCAAGTTCTAGCAAGGCTCTAGAACAACAGGAACTCTTTCAGTGCAAAATGGTACAATTACCTTGGGTAGCTTGGTGGATTTTTACAAAATTAATCATACTCTTACTGTACACTCCAGCAATTACGCTGCTTGGTATTTATCCAAAAGAGTCTAAAAAACGTTTGTCCACACAAATACCTCGAAGTGGCTAAGAGACTAGATCACCACAAAAAATACGTGATAATTATCGGTGGTTATCATATTGCAATACAGAAATTTATCGACTCAACACTGTTCTAGTCCTTAAACATACACAATGTTATATATCAAGTATGTTTTTTAGTAGTATTGTTATAGGGCAGCCCCGATATTGAACGGGTTAGCTTTAGGACATCCTTTTCCCCCTACCAGTATTATAGAAAATATTTAGTCTTAAAATTCAATGATTTCAAAAAAATAAATAAATAAAAAATAAAATTCAATGATTTCGGTTTTAAGGTAATTTAGAGAAGGAATTTTTTAATACGTGGTATTTTAAATAGAATTCTGGAAAACATGATAAAATTGTGCATTTTTTCTGCTCACACCCTCTTTTCTTCCCACCAGAGGCTCTAAAGATCAAAAGTCAGAGGGTTCCTCTCCCTGGCGCCCTTTGGACAAAGAAATCCACGGATCACAGGACGCAACAATGATCGGCTCCCGGGGGGAGCCTAAGGAGGCTGAGGATAGAGGGGGGTGAAATCAGGGACCCCACCTTCGGGGGACGGGGCCCGATTGGCTAATCGCCGCTGCTGACGCCCTGCTCTGCTCTTTGATTGGTGTTAGCCGTGATGCCTCCTCCCGAATGCCTCGCTCGGATTGGCTTATTTATTGGTTCAGACCTGGACGGTGGCCAGGGGAGGACAAGAGATTTCTCTTCGGAATGGAAGGATGATTCGGGTGACCTCTGAGGCGCTACCGCATGTCTGCACGCCGAGGTGCTTCAGGGACATGCCGCGGCCTCTGCGGGGTTGGTGATGCTGGTGATGACAGCGAGGAACCGGTGGCCGCATCTCCCAAACCCGCCCAGGTAACGGGGAGGGGGCCGGAGGGGCAGTTGCGTTCCTGCCCAGGCCCGGAGACGTATGGGGTGTTGAACTGTTTGGCGGGTCCGAGCCCTGAGGGGTACAGGGGGACAGGTTTGAGGGAGAGGAAGAGGATCAGAGCAAAGAATCTGCTGGTCAGGGGATTCTGCTTTCAGACCCATCTGGTGTAGGGAGCCCTCCTACACCCGGTCCTTTCCTCTCTCCACACCCCTGTGGATGGCCTTGAGCCCACCATTTGCCTTGATTTCTTCGTTTAGGAGGTGGGAGGAATGAAGCTAGGCCTACTATCTCCCAGGCTCCTCCCGCCACGGGAAGCAAGAATAGGGTTGACGAATTTAGCAATAAAATACAGGACTCTAGTTAAATTTAAATTTCAGATAAAAAAAAAAATTTTACCGTGTTTCCAGTATAAAATGAAATTATTCATTGTTACTTGCCTGAAATTTAACGGGGTCTCCTGTTTGTTTTTTTCTTCTGGCAACCCCAGAAGACAATAACAGGGCCATACCGCCTATTTACTGTGTTTTCAGAATACTCCCAGAGCATGAGCGTTGTTTAATCTTTGTTCTAATGAAGCCCAAAGGGATATGCCTAAAGCTACTCAAACTAGTAAGTAAGGAGTTTAGGAAGACAACTTAAAAGCCTCTTTCAATTCTGCTGTTTCCACCAGCAAGACTACTGCAGGCATTCCTTCTTCTTGGAATTAATTTAATTAACAACAGCAAATTTATCTTCCAGAGGACTGGGAGTTTTTTTATAGTCAAATTATCCATTATTCTCATTTACCTTATATTTTGAGTGAGGAATAACTGTATGACACTGTTAAGAAATACTGCATTAGTATATGATGATGAGGGTATATTTTATGTTAATACACAAATGATATATAGTTTGACTTTGATATCAGTGGACAAAGTTATATTGTGTACTATATGTATATATATTATGTATTTTGCAAGAGATCAATACATCGCTGTAAGGTAGGGATTAAGGCAGTAGAGCGTATGGCAGTTAAGAGCTCAAATTCTAGAATGAGACACACCTGAGTTCAAAGCCTCACTCCCCACATTGTTGTAAATTCTCAGTGCATAATATCAGGAGGCTGTGCAAACTGTAGTCTCAACCCTCTTCCCCTTGAGGTGGCTCAATCCCACAGAACTCTGAACCAGTGTAGTCTTACTCCTTGGGGTGTCCTCACCCAACAGCCAGCAAAGCCACCATCAGCAGTCATTGGTTAAAGACTGCCCTCAGGGGACATAAAATCCCAGATGCTTTAGGTTTTACAAAAGTGAAGAGTAGCTTAAGAGTTAGTGATCCATTCAGAGTCTTCTTTTTATTATTGTCCATGCATGCATCTTTCAAATAAAACAGGATCTAAGTTCGCAATATGGCTTGCAGAGCTATATCTCAACAGACTAAGAAACTATAGCTTGCTTGCTTTCAGGATAGACAGTTTCCATACCATTTGTATTGCCATTTTTTAAGTTTAAATGCAATTTTGCAACATGAAAACTGCATTGATCTATAATGAGTTGGGAAAGTGTCATTTGTGATACGTCTGTTACATGCTGTTTTCAAAGTTTTGAAATCTTACTACTTATTACCTATGAAATAACACTTAACAAAGCTATAGGCATTATTAAGATCACAGTTTCAGTTTCTTGTTGGAAAGGTATTTCTTATAAAAGTGAATGATAATCATTAAGTACCTATCAGAACAATTTGCCTTAGAGCCGTAAATACAGTTTATTTCACTACTTACTCATCTTCTGCATAGGTAATACAGAAAATGTTTGTTTGGTTCTTTAACTATCCCTAGGGAACTGAGGAGCCTAAGTTTGAAAAGGCACAAAATTTAATTAAAAACAAGACCTTTAAAGGGATTTTATCTGGAAGGAATTTGACTAGTTTGCATTGTAAGCTTGGAATTGGTTCTGTGTTGTGCAGTATAACAAAGCTATTTGTAGACCAGATTTAAATTAAATATAAACAGTTTAACCTTTAGCCATGGGCTTTGAAATAATAATTTCTGTATTTCTTAAAGTAGTTTCTGGAAAATAGTTCTTATTTCAATAAAATAATTATTTCTATAAAATAATAATTAAACTTTTGACTTTTAAATTGAAAAGGTGCTTCTGGCCCTTGAATACTACTTGGAAACATGCATACATTGTAGAATCAGTGTTCAAAATGAAATGCAAACCAAGTACATACTGATGCAGCCTGATATTGATACTTCAGAGAGAGCATTTGATATGTTAAATAGAAGATACCTTTGTAAGTATTGCTATAGTTTTCCTAGGCAGTGCCATTCCTAGTAAAGTGCCATGTCATCTCATTTTATCAAGGTTTGTGACTATTGGTGTTGACCTTGGTCACCTGGCCAAGGTAGTATCTGTCAGGTTTCTCCACTGTGAAGTCCCTCATTCCCTTTCTCCTTCCATACTGTAGTCTTTAGAAGGATTCTCTTTGTGCACCACAAACATTTTGCTTTCCAAAATAGACTAAGATGCTTATTTTGGATGATGCAGCTAAAAATTTTTGAGCCAAAGGAATTAAAGACCAAATCTATGAGGTTTTCGAGAAATTAAATAGCAAGTATTCAATATGCACATGTTTTTTGTAGCTGGCAGGTTGAGTTAATTGCAATATAGCTGTGAAGTGCTATGTTGTCCTTTCTCTCCTGCTGAAAGCAACTGTTTCCTACAATCTCTGTCTAGCACAATTCTCTAGTTAGACAGGGACGCTTGGTCTCAAACACTGTTTCCCTGAGTATAAAAACTGTTAATATCTGCCTAATTGGTGTGTCAGTATAATTCATCATCTCTTTTGTAATGTATTATTGTTTTCTGTCTTTAGGCCAATCAATATATTGAAAGTCATCAAAAAGTTCATAGCAATCCTTTTCAAATTCTGTTGAAGAAGGAAATGACCCTGAAAAGGACAAATGTTTTATAATAATTTTGAAAGAGGGTAATGTGTTTTTTTTCCTAATTGAGAGACATAAAAATTATAGCCGGGAATATTTTTTGCCTTCTTATTTAACCTCTCTGCTAAAATTGTAGAAACTACAATCATGTCTTAGTATTTTGTCTAAAAATCATGTCTTAGTGAAGGCAGTGGTATATGCTATTACCAATCCCTGTCTGGCAGTGAAAGGCCAGGCATTTTAACCCCTGAATCACCATGGGTTCTTGACTCACAAAACCGCAAAAGGAAATTTGTAGATAGACCCTCAGATAAATAAGCAGAGAGAAGCAAATCTTTATTTAGAGAGTAAAGAAAAAGTTTATTTAGAGGAAAAAGGATAAAAAGTAAAGACTCCCAGGCAGCAATGCCAAGGAGAGGTAAAGACACCATTATGGGCCCGTGTCTAAAGAATATTTAAACATTTTTTTCTCTATTCTAAAATCTCAGCATCCTCTTTGTGATTGGCTGTCTCCCAGTTGCTGTGTCTAGCGCCACAGCTCTTATCTTAGTCTTCCTTTCACTGCCCCTGGCCAAGTCTCTTAAAATTTACTAGACTTGTAGCCCTGCTGGATTTCTTTGCCCTTATCTCAGAATCCTTTTTAATGCTCCGAAAGTCCCTGCCTGCACTGTCCCTGAAGCTGCCTACTTAACTCTAACTTGCCCTAGCACTTATTAGTATGTTTAACAAAGCTAAATAAGCACAAGCAGAAAGACAGCTGTACCAGATAGCAGGAAAACCAAGGTGAACCACTTTAATCCAGGGTCATTCTAAGATCTGCTGTAATAATACCTGTATTTAGGCAGAATTAATAGAGTGCATTTCCAAGGGTACTTTCCAATGGTAGTGATGAGAATTAGAAACCAAATGGCCTTTTATTGCAACTGATATGAATTACTATTTTATTTTCCTCTATGAAATGCTACAGGGAACAAAATTGTATACTCTTTGTGACATTCGAAAGTGACTAGGACACAGACTGTCCTTTTTTAGAACGTAAGGCAAAACAAGGGAAGACTTCTGAGAAAATGTCTCCCAGGAATTTCAGTCTCTGATATGGTAAGAGCTCTTCTTCCCTACTATTGCTAAATAAGACACTGTTAACATGTAACATTTCCTTAATAAACTGATGCAGGATCTACTTACAATGTAGCTGTGAAGTGCTGCATTGCCTTTGCCCCCTGCTCAAAGCAAAATTGTTACCATTCTAGCCCTGTCCGCTGCTGTAGCTACCAGGGATGCGTGGTCTCATACATGTTTCCAATTTAAACTCTGACTTGATGAATGATTCCTGAGAATTAAGACTTGTTAATATTTTACAGGTGGTAACAGAAAGAAAGAGCGAGTATCCAGAGGGAATTTAGTAAGGGATGAACCATATCTTGATTACTGACTTACTGGTATTTCAGTTCCTAATTTGATTATAATATTTATTTACCAAAAGTTAGTTTTGAGGGAAAAAATTTTTAATGGTCTTTGTCAGTTCAAGCTATGTGGGGGAATAAAGACTACACTCCATGGTGAGCTATACTGTTTACTTCATGACTTCATTGCTATTTTTTTGTGAACTAGAAGAGTATAGAACAGTTGCTTTTTTAATAAGAATTTGAATATATGCCATCATATCTTGGGCTCATGGTTTTTAAATACAACTAGTCTCTATCATTAGAAATTATGATTTGCCCACTACTTATGAAAACTACTTTTCTTTGTTCAGTGTTTGTCATCTTTATTGAATTACTTGTTTTTATCCCAATGAAATAAATTCATGTAGTGTTTTTCAAGTATGATTTTTGTCCTCTAGCCAACCTTGAAAATCAGATAAATAAATCAGGAAAATAATCTCATCAACTACTAACATCAAGATGCTTTTAAATTGTACTTAGGAAAGTTCATTGTTGATCAGAACACAGTGGAAAGGCAAATGTAAAATGCAGCCCAGATTTTGAACTTTATGCAGTTACTATTCAAAGGGAAAAATCAATGTGCTGTTATATCTGGTTGACTTAGCTTATACATGAGTGTTCTGGGTTTTTTTTTTTTGTAAGATTTATTTATTTATGCATATAAGAACTGGGGTACAGGCCAGAGATGTGTGGGGGGAATGAGAGGACTCATCAGAGACAGAGTAGGGAACAGAAAAACCGGATTGACTGAAATACACTGCTGAGGGGATTAGGGGGCGAGACAGGAGCAGTCTGCTGCACTATGTGGGTCACCTCCCTGGTAGGGGATCGAACTCGTGTTGCAATGGCTGTGAGTAGCTTCATAGGTTGCATCTTAACCCCTTGCGCCACCAGGGAGGCCGAAGTGTTCTGTTTTTAGTTATGTTGCTCATATCTTTGTGGTGATTTCCCTGTAATTGGAATTTTCAGCATTTTCTGGTAACCACTTATATCAAGTCTGGTTTGGATATAATATCTTTATCACTAAATAAGCTGAATTTGGTCTTGCTACTAATGTAAAAGTAACTTTATTAAAAAATATAGAGTAGTTGATAAGAGTCAGTGCTCAGCAGTGGCATTCAGCTGGTTTAGGACATAGATTCATAAATGAAACAGCATGCTGTTTGGATAAAGAGCAAGTCAGAATTTCCATATTTGTTTTTCTCTTTTCCTGATTATTTGATATTTTAAGTTGCTCTAGCCAAGACATTTTTCATTGGTTGTATTATCCCTTTTGGAAAAAAGTTGTGCTGATAAACAGAGCTCAGTCATTTGTATTACTATATATGAGGTAAACTAAGCAGAAAGTTGTGATAAGTATGGATTACCATAACAAAGTTTTAGAGATTTTTTTCCCCATCTACTGGGAAAAATTTTTAATCCTAGACCGAGTTTGTCTAGTAGAACTTTCTTCAGTGATGGAAATGTTCAACATCTGTGCTGCCCAGTGCAATAGTGACTGGCCACATGTGCTATTGAAATATGGTTAATGCAACTGAGGAACTGAATTTGCTGTTTTGTTCAATTTTGATTCATCTTAATTTAAATAGGTACATATGATTTGGGGTTATTATATTGGACAGCATATTCCTAAACAACAGTCAACATCCCAGGGTTTTGTCATTTTTAGTCCCAAATGTGTGTCAGAATGGATTATGTAACTGTTCTTTTTATTTCATTCCCTGTGGTTACATCTGTTCCAGGCCGACATCTGCTTGTGGCTGCCCCCCCATGGGACCAGCTTTAATTTCACTACCTTAAAAACAATACTGTCATCTGCTTTATAAATGATGCTCAAGATACCTGATAGAATCTTATTTTGCAGGCAGAGGACTCATTTTACAATGACCATAAAAGAAATCTTTTCCTTTTCTCTAAATTTTGTGATTAGCATCTAGTGCTCTAATTGGAAACACTCTAAATATAATCTTGGCAAGAAAATAGTCACTGATGATTAATAAGAAATACATATTGTAAGTAGCTCAAGTAGTATTTGATAAGTAATATTCTCATTAATAATTTTCCTTTTCAGAATTGACAGTAGAAGTCAATGTGGGAGCAAAGCTGTGCCTGTGAACAAGAGGATTCTTCATGACGTTGATACTCAACAATACTACCATGGAAGAAATGCCAGTGAATGTGGCTGACCTTATTTCCAGGGTTGCGATGGTTTTGAATGTGTGCTAGTTGTTGCTGAATAGGTGATCACAATGTGCATTGTGCTGCTCTCCTTGGGAATGTTTGAAGCTTGTCTCAATGCTCACAACAAATCCAAAATACAGATTTTGATAGCAAAGTAACCTCAGTCATGAGCTCTTATGAAAAATCATTGACTTCATCCCCTTTTAGACTATTGGGGTTGGGTATAAACTAGGAGGTTGAAAAAAACTTCCTTAGAAGTTTAGTTCCTAATTCTGGAACAATGATATAGTGAGTATTCGCTGTCATTTAATAATATACTTAAGATATGGGCTGTCTTAAACTAGTGTATCTGACTTTATTGTTTTAGTAATTAGATGTATATATAGAATGATCTTTAAGATAATTTTTTAAGAAAATATTTTAATTTATTTTGTTTGCTATAGTGTTTTTGCCCAATAAACATTTTACTAGTGGTAAGTTTAATCTAGACCCTGTTGCTAAGCAGCAGCAACAATCCTAGGGTTAAATCCCAGGGAAAAAGACCATATTATGTATCAAATATTTTATAAGTTGCAATAAAGTGTATTTTTCTTTAAATTTGTTTTGCCCTTATTCCTTCAGGTATGTATTTTTTTCTCTAACCGTATTTTCAAAGGAAGAATAAGCCAGCATTCTCTAGTAAATATTTTATTCTAGTTACAAAATTATATACAAAAGCTACAACAAATATGGGTTGCCGTAAAAAGGTTTAATATTTCCAAGTGAGTTGCTGCTTGGCTCTTGCACCAAGACTCATCAATTGTAGATGTTCACCAGCACCACCTGCTAAGCATCATCTGCTTCTTTGAGGAAACAGAAACATTAGAATGTAAGATTTTATTCCTCTTCTGATGTGGCAAACATGCCCTGGAACATGTAAAGAAGCTACTAACAGCAAGGTCTTCTGCTACTAAATATATATATATATATATACACACACACACACACACACACACACACACATATGTGTGTGTATATATGTATATGTATATATATGACAAGCTCTTTTTCTAAATTAACAACATGGAGCTGCCATAATATAGTATATAATAGAACAGAACAGAATATAATAGGTTCTATTATGAAAGGATTGACATTGAATATGATTCTTTTTTTTCCTACTGTGACAAATAAAGCAAATCCTTGGGACTCACATAAGTTAAAAGTCTCACTGTCTTCAGTGAGTGAATGTACAAAAGGAGACCCTAAAGAATGAGGTGTAAGGGATAATCCATATCCTATAAAGATTGGAAGGCAGGTGGAGAGAACTACCTAAAGATGAGATAGTAACAAAAAGACATAACTTAGAATGTATTAGGAAAAGGTGTAATTACAAGATTTACTAGAAGACACCTATGACCCAATTTAATAATATGGATTTTATTCAGAATTAAAGTTATGTATTATCTCCATGCCAGGATACCTTGGCTAACTTCCTTGAACTCAGTGGCACCCCCCTTGAACTCAGTGGCACCCCACTCTTTCTTGGTTCCTCCTCTGCCTGTGGCCCTGGGCTATCCTGTCCACATCCTTCTCAGGCTTCCCATGGAAGCATCAAACCAGCTGCTCCCTGGATGTTTCAGTAGCATGGCTCTGACATTTAAATAGATTCACAATCAGACTTGCCATTTTGCTCCACTGTTACTCACCTTCATTACTTGAACCTCCTTCTCTTATCTAGACTGGCAATGTTCTCCAGATTTGGTTCCCTTTCTGTGCTGTTGCTTTAGGCAATCCATTTACCACTCACCCCTAAGGTGATCTCATAAAAATATAGGGTTTTTTTTTCACCTCAGGATAAAGTCCAAAGTCTATGGCTTCCTTGATTCTGCTTTTATATCTAATAAGTTAGGCCCAAGGTGATTGAGATTTTCTCCTGTTATCTTTTAGGAGTTTTACAGATTTTTTTTTTTAAAGATTTATTTTATTGGGCCTCCCCGGTGGCGCAGTGGTTGAGCGCTGGGTTGCGAAGCTGCCCGCAGCCTCTGCAGCGCCGGTTCGATCCCCGGCTGCTCCCCGGCCACCGGAGGAGGGTCCCACATGGCGCACAGACCTCTCCTGCCGCCCGCTGCTCCCCTCAGCAGTGTACTTCGGTCCTTCTGCCTGCTCTGCTCCCCACTCTGGCTCTGGTGAATTCTCTCACCCTCCCGCGCTTCTGACTGTACCCAGTGCTTGTATAAATGAATGAATGAATGAATGAATGAATAAATAAATAAATAAATAAATAAAACTAAAGATTTATTTTATTTATGAATAGAAGTGCTGGGGTACAGGTCAGAGGTGCCCACATGTGGGTTGCTTCCTGCCCGGGGATCGAACTCAAGTTGCAGAAGCTGCGGATAGCTTCACAGACTGCGTCTTAACCCCTTGCACCACCAAGGAGGCCCAGGAGTTTTACAGTTTTGTGTTTTACATTTAGTGGTCAGTGACTCATTTTGAGTTCACTTTTGTGAAGGGTGTAAACTCTGTGCTGAGACTGTTTTGTTTTTGCTTTTGCTTATGAATGTCCATTTGTTCTGGACCATTTATTGAAAAAATCTCTTTTCTCCATTATTTTATTGCCTTTGCTTCTTTGCCAAAGATCAGTTGACTATATTTATGTGGTTCTGTTAGGGGGAAATGATGTCCTGAGCTAATCCCATACAGGCTTTGTGGACCCCACCCCGACTCCAGACTAAAGCCATCAAGACATTGGGAAAGACAAATCCCATCACCACCAAAGGGAAGGTGGCTGGGACCTGAGGGTGGAGTTGGGCAGCCAGGTTGGATATAAAAACCAAACACGTGGGCCTTGGGGGGCTCACTATCGCTCACCTCCTGGCTTCACGGCTCCTGGCTCGCGGCCAGCTCTCAGAGTGCCATTTTTGGGATTCCTGATTGGGGGATCGGGTAGGACTCATTTAAAACTTTGTCTCCAACTTTTCTCCCTGAGTTGTACATTTCCTCATTTGCCCTTCCCTTGTAAATAAACCTTTTATTAACCTTTCGCGTGTGCCTGCAGTAGAGCATTGATAAGTCCTTTTAAGCACGCGGGTGAGGACCCACACTCAGGCACCCCAATTTGTATCGGGGTTGCTCTACAACAGTTCTATACCTTGGCTCTCTTAAGGAAAACTGTTTTTCTCCTTGACTCACAGAATTTCCCTTCTAGTGCTTCTGGTCATCACATATTGGGGGATTTACCACACCAAGCAATTCTCTGGCATCAGCAGGGAGTCCTATAATTTAACTCAATTCTGACACTAACCTGGAGATAGCATTATATCCCACAGTTTAAGAGTTCAGTTCCACAAGACTATGCCCTCCCCCCACCACAGATACCGGATGCAAAATGCAGGTTGAGGTTCTTACTTATATTTTTCCACCTATTGGCCATAGTTGGAGGGTCCCATGACTCCCTCTGTAACAGGGTAGTGCCCAGGAAAAAAGGAAGTTCCAGACTCCCTGCCCCACCCAAAGGAGGGTGGAGCTGAGCAGGGGGGAGAAGAAGCTGGAGAGGAGACTGAGGAAGAAAGAAAGCAGGATGGAGATCCAGAAGGAGACCTGGAGGAGGCACATGGAGCAGGAAGACACATGAGGAAACTGCGTTTGCTTCTTGGTCCTGGAATTGTTGCAACAGATGTGGGTGAGAGACCCTTGGAGAGGTTAAAAATGGCAGCTTTCATCTTGATTTTGACTTTACTCTTTTCCTCCAAGACTTGTCTGGCTGTTTCTGATCCTTTTCTGTGGGTCCCTGCCAGAAGTTGCTTCAGACTTGTGTCAGGTTTTCAGGCCTTGCTCTAAGCCAATCCCATTTGGGTGGACATTAACCCACGAGGGGATGGATAACCCTGGGTGCTTGATTGAGAAACTATGTTCTTTTCTTTTCTGTATTGTTTACTAATTGTATTAAAGTTCCTTCCCATTGAAGGTCTTCTATCTTTTGTCTTAATGCTGCAGATGGCAGAACCTATTTAGAGCAGGCAGGTTTGGGGGTTCTGGGGTGGCCCTCTCCCTGCCCTGTAACACCTCCTCAGGCTTGATTAATTTGCTGAAATGATTCACAAAATTCAAGAAAACATTCTATTTGCCATTTTTCCAGTTTACTATAAAAGGATATAACTCAGGAATAGTCACATGGAAGAGCCGTATAGGGAAAGGTATGAGGGAGAAGTCACACAGCTTCCATGCCCTCTTTGGTTGTGCCAATCCCCCAGTATATCCAAGCATTCGCACTCCCAGAAGCCTTCTAAGCCCTGTGCTCCTGGGATTTTATGGCGGCTTTGTAAATGTAGACATAATCGAGTAAATCATTGGCCACTGGTGATTAGCTCAACCTCTAGACCCTTTCCCACCCCTGGAGGTCAGGAGCTGGAGCTGAAGCTGAAAGCTACACCCCTCTAATAGCAGGTTGGTTTCCCTAGCAACCAGCCTCCATCTTTAAGGTCTTTTCAAAAAGCCATTCTTAACACAACCCCAGGGGTGACAGAAAGGGACTTGTTTTGAATAACAAAAGACAAAAGATAAAGGTGAAAACCTTCATTCTGTGGAGCTATTTCAGGAACTCTGTGGGGGGAGGGACTAATTATTATAACAAAAGCTTTCTCTATTACTGTTATATAGAAAATTACAAGAGTTTTAGGAGCCATATGCCAGAAACAGTAGAGGAAGACAAATACGTTTTTCTTATTACAAACCACACTACACAGCTCTCTATTCTGCACCATTGACCTATTCATCTATTCTTTTACCAATGTGACATTGTCTTGAGCACTGTAGCTTTACAGTGTGGCCTGAAGTAGGGCAGTGTTGCTCCTCTGATTTGCAACAAAATCTCCCCAAAACTAAAAATTAGGGAGTTAGCAAAATTAAACTCTAATCACCAAATTGCATTCCCTCTTTAGGATTGTTAGCTCAATTAATTGTACTCCTTCTGCCCCTCCTTGTAATAAATAAACCTTAACTGACTAACTACATTCCTGGGAATTTGAAAAACTGAATTGTGTTACATCCCTAAATAAAATTCTCCAATGTCTCTGGGGTTGATAGTGGCATCAACATCTGCTGGTTGCTGAAAAACAAACAAAAAACACCACACACCCTGCTGGAAAAACCAAACACCTTGACTCCTGTCACCTAGACTGTCCACCTCCTGGATGCCAGGCCCTCTAGGAAGGGACAGCTCTACACTCCACTCTAGCCTGAAACAGTTATGGAAGGTGGACCTCTACCCTTCATCTCCCCTAGTTATTTCAGACAGGATATGATGGGGGGGTGGGGTTTGAGGGAAAAAGATGGAAGCTAACTGCGGAGGTGGGGTATAGGGATAATTAACGAGTCAATACAAAAGACCAACCCAACCCCAAAGTAATAAATGCTACAAAGTCATAAAACTCCACCAAAGAGCAATATATAAAGAAATCCCTTGCTCTGGCAAAATGCAGCTCTTGCACTAATGGCCACATTTAGAGTGGTCAGGGGAATTCATCTGTGACCTTCCACTCACTCATGCTGGACTTCTCCCTCTCCCAGCCTCGTTGCCAGCCATGCTAAATCTTCCCC